CACCCAAACACTAACCCTAAAACTCTACCCCGTCAAAACCTAACCCTACCCAAATCAAAACACAACTATTCAAAGTATGACTGTGAACGTTATATGGTATTCGTTCTGTGTGAGAAACCGTCCCGTGCGATACTGCAACCTGTGCCATGCGTATTGCTAGCTAATGCTAACTGCTATGCCAATGCTAAGCATATCGGGCCGATCGGCCCAGTGTTTTCGTCATAGCTACGAACCGAACAAGCACAACCGCCATCTTTGTGCAAGAAGTCACAGCGTAAAAACTTTTAAAATCTGTACTTATTTCTTTATTAGCTCGATATATTGTAGTCTCGTTTGTTAATTGTTAAAGTCAACTATACTCGTACGGCTGTGGTGTACCACTCTCGCTCACCTACCTTGATCTCTCCTCCCTCCGCCTCCTGCTGCTGGTCTGCTGCGGCTGCTACTTGCGCGCGGCCGAGTCGCTATGTAGTTGAGAGTCCTCGCGGCGGTGAGTGATGGATGGAACGACTGCGGAGGCAGAGGATATCGGCACGCGCTCGCAGTCCCCCCCCCCCGCTACCGTAGGAACGATGGTGGCTCGGCAAACCGAGCTGAGAATCATACTCGCTGCGACGCCGGCCCCCCGCTTCCTACATATGTCACGTTAGCAGCGACCCTCGCGTGACGGCCGTTGCGAACGGGTGCGTGCGCCGTCACTATATAATCGCAGCGCTTTTTTCATTAGAGTTGGGCCGTCTTCTATGGTGAATGAGTCGGTGGGTGGAGGGCGGTGTCGGACGCGTCGGGTTTTTTTTTAGTCGGCGAGAGGGAAGGGGGCTAATGAAGCCGGGAGTGTTCGTTGTCGTGCGGTGATTTTAGTGTGGGTGCCGATGTAACGTTGGCACGTTGCTGCCGAGAGAGAAAAGACAGAGAGAGAGAGAAACAGAAGCAGAAGAGAAGAAGAGAGAGAGAGAGAGAGAGAGAGACAGAGAGAGAGAGAAAGAGAGAGAGAGGAGAGAGCAAAGAGAGAAAGAGAGAGAATAGAAGAACAAGAGAGAGAGAAACAGAGAGACAGCAGGCTGCGTGCTCTTCCATGCTAGCTCACACACGCTACACGTGAAGACGGCTATGGGCGGGATGGGAGAAGAAGGCAACGTTGAATAGGCTTTTTTATATATTGTTTTTTTATGTGTGTGTCGTGGCGTGTGTGCGTCTGTGTGCTCGTGTGAGCGTTGGTTTGCCTTAACTTCGTTGTTGTGTTGGTGTTGTGTGCTGGTGTGTGTGTTGTGTGTGTGGGTAGTGTGTGTGTGTGTAGTGTGTGTGCGTGTGTGGTGTGTGTGTGTCGTGTGTGGTGGTGGTGTGGTGTGGGTGTGTGTGTGTGCTGTGTGGTTGTGTGTGGTGGTAAAGATGTGTGTAAGAGGAGGAACGCTTTGCAGCTCAGTACACGTGTTTTACTTGCTAGATTGGTCGAGCGGAATAATACACGGGGAAATGCGCGCATGTGGTATCTAGATCTAAGTGAATTTTGTTGATAGTCGTAGAATAGACCTAGTATTTCATGCTCGATATTTTTACAATGAAAACGACGTTGTTTTTGTTAATTTTTGCCAGTTGTTGTCAGATATTCCTTCGCGCGTTGCCGCGGTTACGTAATTTCTGCTAAATATATTCCATTTCGGCTGCTTGGTTACACGTCGTCCGCTGACGTCAGACGCGTACGAGCTACTAGGCTGCCACTTAGCGGCAAACAACCGATTTGTTTTCTTCTCCTTGTCATCATAGTATAATCGCGATGGACCGCATATCTGTCGTTTCAGACCGAGACGTGACGTAATCGGTTGGATAACCTATAGGTTCTAGCGGTGCAATGAAACAGTCTCATCTTCACATAAAAATCACATTGTCTCCATTTAACACAGATTCCTCATGCTTATGTGTTCGCGCATGCGTAATATTTGCCAAGCGAAACAGTCGGTTCACACTCAAAGTAGAGAGCAAACGTTCACGAGTATGGGTTTATATTTTTTTAAATGTCTATATACAGTATTCTACGTCAATCCTCATTAACTATTTACTTCGCCGTCGCCTAGTCGGTCTTCATCTAGTCCTTAAGCTGGGTCGGGTTAATAAAGAATTAAGGTAGAGAACACATATCCATGAGTGGGTTAGTGTGAGATATGTCTATCGCAGTGTTTCACTTCAGTTTCAATTAGCTTTACCTTGCCTTCAGATCATCGTGTCCTCCGGAATTGCGGCATGACCAACTGTTACTGAGCTGTATATAGCTTACTATATCGTTCTCTTTCTTCTTTTATTCTGTCTTTCATTTCTGTTTCTGCGTTTACGCTATCTCCCGTAAATAAGTGGGCACCATAGAAAAAGAGAAAGAGAGAGAGAGAGAGAGAGACCGCGCGTACAAAAGAGAGACAGAATGAAAGTGAAAGAGCAACAATGAAAGAGATATCTAAAGAGAGAGGGGCGAAAGTGAGAGAGAGAACGATCGCACGTGCAAGAGAGAGTGAGAGAAAAAGAGAGATGGGGAGAGGAGAGAGAAAGAGAGGAGTGAAGGAGGAAAGGAAGGGAGAGCGCGACCCCCTCTAGCCTGTAATCACAATTACCATAATCATTATCTTCATCATCATCATCATCATCATCATCATTGTCGTCGTCGTCATCATCATCATCATCATCATCATCATCATCAAAAACAACAACATCATCATCATCAGCAACAACATCATCATCATTGTCGTCGTCGTCATCATCATCATCATCATCATCCTCATCATCATGAGTGCTGGCGGGGAGGAGGCAGACAGTGATACGGCTGTGACGCACGATCCTCGCCTCGTCAGCATCGATCGTGGTTTGACAAGCGAGCGATGATACGAATCGCGGTGGTGTCGTGTCTCGACGTCGCGATTCCGGATTGCCCAGTCGACGGCATTCTTCTAAGTCGTCGCTTTGTGAAAATAATCTACTATTGGCACGGAGAAGCGAGATGTCGCCTTCGCTAATCAGATGCCCTTGAATGGTGTTTTCTGTAGAGTAGATGAAAATACTGACCGCAGATATCTCCGTTGCCGATGTCCACAAGGATCTCCGATGACGCAGTTGACAACACGTTTACATCAATTGCTTGCCTCCCAAACCAGATCTTTCCAGCTGACCGGATATTTTCGTCCGGATGGTCCCTCCACTACGGCGATGTCATTCCCTGACCGGATGTCGTCCATTAATAGGCATGCGAGGCAGAAGCTTCTCGAATGATTTCGAGGAATAACGTGAAATATTTGCAGTGTCTGCTAGCCGATTCGGTTGTCACCATGCAAGCGCCCACACGGCGCACCAGCATATCGCACATAGGGCGCTTGATCAATAATCACTTTATAAATAATGTGTGCAATAATGCTATAGCTAAGACGTCGACCTGGAATCGCACATATTTTAATTATAATAGACGGGTTTCTTGGATGTTTCCGTACATACTTGATTCGATATTTAGAGTGAACGAAAGGTAAGCGATTTTTTCACTCGATAGATGATCGTCAATTTATTCGTTTCTTAAAGTGTAATATCCACGTGTGTTAGGAAAATTAAACCGAGTGCATTGAGTTAATAAAACAATTACGTAAAAGGAATACAGCTCTGTTCGACACGTGCTAGCCCATTTATTCTCCAACGAACGCTGTGCACATATACATGTCGACATGACGATTTCCGCAGCTCATTAATGATTATGGTGCTGCTGAGCATTGCATATATTTAGTCGGATGAAGACTATACGCGAACTTGAAATCGCACCTTTTTTTGGAACTAACAATCTCGACATTTTACTAAAAAATTCGAATGATTTCTTTTGAGGATTTCGGGCGTATATGATATTACACAGAATCGTTAAATGAAATTTCTATAGTTATTTGCTATTTGGAGTAATTTGTGGTTATGTCCTGTAAAACATGATCAGTTCTGATGTTATTTGCCCATTCATGCGTTCGTATGGGTGCGTGGGATAGTGCGCGTACGGTGAGCGTAACCATTACAGGCATGTGCGCTTTATGTTTCATGTATGTGAAGAGTGGGAGTCTGTGTTATGGCGATTGTTTGCTCTCGAGTATTTTGCCGATGCGTGCGTGCGTCTAAGCCTAAGTGCCGTGTGCGTACGCCTGAGTGCGTTAGTGCACGTTTATCGCCGGCTGTGCGTGCAAGCCTGTTATACACACATAGTTTTGGTCGCGCAGCGTTTTGTTTGATTAGGTGCGTTGTGTGCGCGCGAGTCAGAATGCGCGACGTTCAGCAATAAATTCCACATACAGTACACAAGCCAGTTATTGAATTCGACCATATACCGCTAATATTAAACAACTTCCACAATTGCTCAGCTGCGCGGGGCATTGCCACCGAGCCGCCATGATTTATCGCAAGTCCGGAGTCTATACCGGAAGCTATCGGGTTCCGCCATCACTGCCAGGCAACGATACGGCCGATTTTTCGGGCGTGCGCCCGAAGAAAAAAACTCTGATCCTTGCTTGATCACGTGCGTGTTGGAAAGCGCAGACGCCCGCGAGGCGTTCTAATAGAGTGTACGGCGTTCGCAATTGCATGCCGTTGAAATACGGCAAGAATCTACATCTGCTCGCTGTACAAGGTCGCAGGTCTTGACTGAGACCGTAGCGACGGTGGCGCCCCCCGCGTACGGAGGTCCGAACGGCATCATGAGGCATGTATGCGTAGAATTATGGAGCAGAAGAGCAGTCTGCTGTTCCCACAGATACCCCCCAGCCCCCCGTTCACCCGTGAGTTACCGCAACTTCTATTATAAAATTCGATTATTCAGCACTGTGTGATTTCACAGCGTCACAATGGCAGACGACGACGGCGTAGGCGATTAACGTTCGTCATTGTCCGTGAGATTGTGATGATTACTCTCACGGCTCGACTGCCTGTATTATATAGTAGATTGATGCTATTAGGATCTCGGCTTATGATCTCTAAGTTGCTGTTAATTCAATTCTGGCCAGGATGACGTCAGCCCGCAAATACCTAGCTACCAACAGCGGCCGGCGGTAGTCACCTGCTGTCTCTCGCCATCGAAACCGGGCGAGCCTCTAGGCGGTCAGATTACACCGTGATAGCTTTTTACGTCTGGTAGAGCGATATTTCACGTAAACGTTTGACTCCTGAGAAACGTATGTTAGTGAGAAGGAGAATGGAGGAATGAGTGCGAGTACAAGGCGGCAAGTATAAGCTGGTAGTTTCACCGGCCGAGTCTTGTAAAATGAACCCTCTTTCGTCCAGTTGTTTAGTGGATTAAAATCATATATCATGCGATTAGATTATTCTATCTATTACGATATACCACACGCGTACAGTATAACACTCTAACAATTCCATATTTCAAAAAGGTTTGCTGCAATTCTGAGTACTCGTCCGAATGCTACACAGTGGGCAGCTCTAACTTTCTCACCGCGATTCTGACGTCAATCACAACCACATTCAAACCAGCGTAGCTACGTTGTCGCGCTATTATCTGGAAAATAACTTATAATTCGAGAAGAAACCTGCGGTGAGGTTTGTAATTCGTTGGTCCGTTGAATGTAGACGGGCCACTGGTGTCGATGAGCCCGTCAGTAGAAGGTTATCGCACCAACTCGCGATTCTGAGAATGCAACAAAAGTCAGGTATTAGATGAAAGAAGACAAGAATGCGTTGTATTTTGGAATCGTATTAGTATTTCGATAGGCATGGTAGATATATATCTAATAATGCTATATATCATATATACTATATCGTTTTCTGACATTATATTCAGATAATATATTATTCGTCCTGTTCAATCAATGGTCTTGTACTAGAAAGCGATCACAAAAATGCGTTACATTTGACACTAAATGCGCTGGGCAAGACACTTTTATGCGCCCCGTGTTCCCCGTGCTGTTCTCTAGCGACGTGCCGAAGCCTTCAGGAATGGCAGGTCTCTTTTATCGACTGTTTCTGTAATAAATTATGCATTTTAGCGGTAGATGAATCGTGCATGTATATTATGTATGTCGTATGGCGATGTGTGTGTGCGTGTCCGTGTGCGCATGCGTGTGCATAGGCGTGTCCCTGAGCGTGTCCAATCGTATATGTATGTTCAAGTGTGCGCATGTACGTGTGCGTATGTCTATCGTAGTGCGCGTGCGATGCGTGTGTGTATCCGTGTGGATGTACGCTATCGCCGCGTGCACGTGGTGTGTATCCGTGTGCGTGTGCGTGGTTTTCATCCGGTGCGCGCCGTTGCGTGTTGTGATTCGATGTTGCGCTGTGCGCGCCGTGCGTGTGTGTATTCGTGTGGGTGTACAGCGTGCGCCGCGTGCAGTGGCGCTGTTGTATCGTGGTGGGTGTGCGCGTGCGCGGCGGTGGTGTTGTATCTTGTGGTGTGTGCGTGTGGTGTTATCTATGGTGAGTGTGCGCGGCGGCGTGGAGCAGTGTGTGTATCTTTTGTGGGTGGGCATGTGTGTATCCGTGTGTGTGTGCGCGTGCGCGCGTGCGTGTGTGTATCTTTGTGGATGTGCGTGTGCGTGTACATCGTTGTTGGCACACATGCCCCCAATTCACATAATAAATACATGATTCGACGTCCTGCTGACATCGCTACATGCTGCTCGGTTCAGAAATCTAGATGCTCTGGATGATCGTAAAAACGTGCATATCGCTTGCAGCATCGACTGCAGCCGCTACTAGCAGTAATTAATGAGCAATTAATGATGACTAATCATGTAGCTATACGTAGTATACGCCCTACGCTCCATCGTATCTCTATCACTCCACTTCCTCTCTCTCTCTCTTCTCTCTTTCTCTCTCTCTCTTCTTTCTCTTTCTCGTCTCTCTCCTTCCGCTCTCTCTCGCCTCTCGTCTCTCTCGGTTCTCTCTCTCTCTCTCTCTCTCTCTCTCTTCCATCGCGCTCTCTCTTCTCTTTCTCTCTCTCTCTCTCTCTCTTTTCTCTCTCTCCTTCGCGCACGTCTCGCTCTCTCATGCTCTCTCTCTCTCTCTCTCGTCTCTCTCTCTCCTCCAGTCTCTCTCTCTCTCTTCTCTCTCTCTTCTCTCTCTCTCTCTCTCTGTCTCTCTCTCTCTCTCTCGATCTCCTCTGCCTCTTCTATCGTAACTGTGGCGGGCTCATTTTCTTTTTATTCATTTACTCCTTTTGTAGATAGTTATTATGGATTCATCTGTATCGCACATCGTGTGTTTTTATTGTTTTACTTACCCGCGCGTCACTTTTACCGAATCTCAGGAATGGCAAATCCTTTTTTCACTGGCACTGAAACGAAATAAAATCGAGGTGTTACCGTTGAATCGCCACCCCTCCTCTGAGCGGCCCGCGGCCCTGCTCTCCCACTGCCTCTCTCGCCACCTCTCCTCCACCACCACCCCTCCTCTCTCGCCACCTCTCCCAACCTCTCCACTCTCCACCGACCGACCCTTCCCTCGCGCCCCTCCTTCATGCCCTGGCGCACGTTGACACGGTCGTCGTGATGACGTGGATTACGGCCGATGGGGACACTCGCATTCTAATGCGGTCCGACCGTCCGTGAATATTCACACATCACGCGTCCGCTTCGCACGTCGAGCATTAACGCGAACACCGTCGCGCAAAAAACAACTCTCCCCGTGAGACGCCTAGCACCAGCTTCATATTACTGCATCTTACTCGCCGTAAGAACAGCTTCCGAGAGGAAGATAGAGTCTGTTAAGGATGATGCTGCCTACCTACGCGACGTTTTTTCGCTAAATTCCCCGTTATTTATCCGTCGTCGCCGAGCCAGAGATTGTCGGCGTGGAGCATGACAGCGTCGGCTCGCGTGTAGTACGCCTGTCGGCTGGCAAGAACCGTGGCGCTGGCAGGTTTTCATGGGTAGGATTTCAAATGAGACGTCGTATTTACGTATGTAGTAGTTGCCGCGTTTTTTTTTCTCTCGTTCGTTCTTGATATAATTCTTCCTCGATGCGAACCGGTGAGGTAATAAGCATGCAGGAGATTAGTAAACTACTACAGATGTAGGATGCTGGAGGGGATCGCAGGCGCGGTTCACGCCTGCTGTCCATCACACACACCACAACAACACACACACGCCACACACACAACCACACACACAACACACACACACACACCACACACACACACTGCACACACCAGCACTCACACGACACACACGCCACACACACACACTGCACACAGACAAACACACAAACACACCAACACACACACCGCAACACGACCACACACCACGAGCACACACACACAACACCCTACGATCGGGTCACACACACCACACCACACACACACACACAGTGCTGCGTTCACGTGTGCTACTACAAGTGCGGCCGACCGGGGGAAGCGCTGCGCGCGCGCCACGCGTGCCGGACTTGCGCGCGAGAATCACGTTCCTAATAAGCCGATAAGTTATTATAGGTTTTCTTCCAGAGCGACACTTTACGGGCGTGCGGCGAGCCACGGTGACGCAGGTGTCTGTCCGCCGCGAGTGCACGAGTCCTGCCAAGTGCGTCATCGATGAAGTGAGCGTAGAGTCGGAGGCGGTACAGGTGCTCAGTCAGCTCGTAATATCGCGAGCTCCGTGTACCGTTTTCCTGTATTCTCGTCTAGATCTCGTGTATCTCGTGTATCTCACTCTACTTCGTGTATCTCCGTGTATCTCCGTTGTACTCCGTGTATCTCCGTGTATCTCCGTCTATCTCCATGTATCTCCGTGTATCTCCGTCTATCTCCGTTTAACTTCGTCTATCTCCATGTATCTCCGTGTATCTCCGTCTATCTCCGTTTAACTTCGTCTATCTCCATGTATCTCCGTATAACTCGTCGTCGCTCCGTGTATCTCCGTGTAACTTCGTGTAACTCCGTGTAAGTCCGTATAACTCTTGTTGTTTTTTTATACTTACCCTGTGACGTGACATTGTCAACATCGGCCAATCATAAAACAACATTACGATACGCGCAACACTCGAGACAATATTTAAGGTAAACAGCGCATACACCGCCGCCGACCGTCGTGGAAACACATGCACACGCTAATGAGATCACAATAAGATGGCGGACATGACGGCATATATAGCGGTGGCCCATCAACGACTGATTCCCATCGCGCTGTTTCTTGTATTATCTCAGCTGTCGTCGGCCGTGCGACGTTATTTTAGCATCTAAGGTGAATGCAGCGCGTCATTTTAGCATCGAAAAGAAATTAATCCGCACAGAAATCGATCACGATGTGACGGGATGTGTCCTCCCCGCTCCATCTTACGTGTCAAGCTCTACCGTGAGCCGTGATCATGCGTGGGTTACCCCCCCCCCCCCCCTCCTCCCCCTCGCGCGCGCGACTCCTTAGACAATTACGTGACTGATGAATGACGACAGTCGACAGCAGTGCTCGGTGACAATGAGCGGTGATCAGTGACAATCAGCGACGACAATGAGCATGTGTCGTGTGCTTGAGGGTGCGCGGTTGTGTTCGCTACGCGGAGAACGACGCACGCGGGGGGGGCGGACAGACCAAGGTGCTCGTTGATGTGACACGCCCCGCTATTACTACGCGCTTATGCTCGCAAAGACGTCGGTTGCAAACCCAACCCGGCGTTTTGATGGAGCAAGAGCATGGTGAGAATTGGGGTGAAAGAAGGTGAAGAAAGTGGAAGCGAAAGAGGAGGGGAGAATGGGAAGAGAAGGAAGAGAAGGAAGAGAAGGAAGAGAAGGAAGAGAAGAAAAATAAAGAATAGGAGGAAGAGGAGGAGAAGGAGGAAGAGGGGAAAAGTACGAGGGTGATAATGCGGGAAATGGGGAATAGGAGGAGCACGAGGCGGCATGGACGGAGAAAGAGAAGGAGAGAGTCGCTGCATGCGGCTGAATGCGCGCGATACCTGCCCGTAGCTGTCATCTTGGTCAATATTGAACTTTGTCACCTGTCCCGCTCTCAATTACACCGCGCGCGAGACAATGCCGCCAAGCAAAGCCGTCGATGTGCGGCTTAGACACTGTTGGTAGAAGCCGGCTGCGGAGACAGATCAATATATCGATGACCAGCTGAGTTCACGGATCAATAATCGAACGCTGAATTTGCCGTGAATAAGCTACTGATCCGTGACGTCGTGGCGACCGCAGGCTGTATCGCTCGAATGAATACTTGACATTAATAGCAGCGGTATAAGCATTCGATGTGTTTTTCATTTGGCAAATTCGTTTCACACCATAGTAGCATATCGTTGCTTCTAATATCAAACGAATATCGGTAAGGGTAACGTAAGGGTATCGATGTGCTTTTCATTAGGCAGATTTGTTTGACATTAGTAGCAACGGTATAATCATATATCGATGCGGTCGTTTCACCGTACAATAATCACTGATGTTAGAACACGCAGCCTGTTTAAAACACGAGTTTAGGGGATACGCTCAGCGACACGTAAATTCCAACAAAGCCGTGACTGTTTGACTCTGCCGCCAGAGCGCGCGTCGCTCTGTAGCAGACATGTTAGCAGCAGCTAGTATTATATATATATATATATTATATACTGTTCGAGAAACCTCGCGCGATAAAAATTTCTCTAACGTTACAGCGTTAAATAAACCTGATGACGTCTATTCTTAGTCAAAACTATTTTTTCCGCTAATTTTAGACTTTAAGGACTTTAGGTTATATGTTAGACCAGTCGACATTGGACTGGCGTTTCGTAGAGACGGTCCAGACGTGCCGTTCAGATGTGTTAACTTAATCTTAATATATGATTATAATATATCTAATTTTTAATTATGACGTTGAAAGCATTACCGTCGATTTGTTTGGAAAAGCGTTGTCTGTTGAATTCACAGCCGTTTGATAAACATCGCGTCATGTTGACGATTACTTTCTCCGTAGAACATTTCTTCATTTGTCGTACATTTTGTTTGCGGCTCGTTCACTTTGTCGATTTATTTCGCTTGATGATCAGACAGAATCCGTGGCAGACAGAATCCGATCTGTAAAGTCGTCACTCTGACAACGACAGATCTGCGTAGACAGCTCGTGCACAGATCTGACGATGTGCTTAACAAAGGTTTTCAACGTAATACGATTTCTAGCGTCTTACGTCGATCGCCACATCCGGATCGAGAAGTCGGCTGCATGTTAGACGTGACAGATGTGACGGCCGAAGGAACACAGACGTGCGGCAACAAAGGAGGAGTTACTATGGTTACTCCTGATATGATACAAGCACAGATGACGTGCAAAGACAACGTGCGACTGATAATTGGGCGCGTGTCATATGTCATAAAAGTATACCTATATATATATGTGGGTGGACGTGCGTGCGTGCGTGCGTGCGTGCGTGCCTGCTTGCGTGGTGCGTGTTTGCGCGTGTGCACGTGTGTGTGTGTGTGTGTGTGTGTGTGTGTGTGTGTGTGTGTGTGTGTGTGTGTATGTATGTGTGTGTGCCTCATACATATACTACCTCAATGAGGTCAACATAGATGTCGTGAATGGGTAGCGTGCGACTGAATAATTGTGCGGGGTCTTATGTCATGTAATATATAATTATGTGCGGGGGTAGACAGTGATACGGCTGTGACGCACGATCCTCGCCTCGTCAGCATCGATCGTGTTTGACAAGCGAGCGATGATACGAATCGCGGGTGGTCGTGTCTCGACTCGCATCCGGATTGCCCAGATCGACGCATTCTTCTGTGTGCGTCGCTTTGTGAAAATAAACTACTATTGCACGGAGAAGCGAGATGTCGCCTTCGCTAATCGGATGCCCTTGAATGGATGTTTCTGTAGAGTAGATGAAAATACTGACCGGATATCTCCGTTGACCGGATGTCCACAAGGACTTCCGATGACGCAGTTGACAACACGTTTACATCAATTGCTTGCCTCCACAAACCGGATCTTTCCACTGACCGGATATTTATCGGACCGGATGTCTCCACTGACCGGATGTCATCCCTGACCGGATGTCTCCATAATAGGCATGCGGGGCAGAAGCTTCTCGAATGATTTCGAAGGAAATAATTGAAATATTTGCCAGTGTCTGCGACTATATTCGTGTCACATGCAAGCGACCACACGCGCACACATGGGCGCTTGATCAATAATCACTTTATAAATAATGTGTGCGAATAATGTATAGCTAAGACGTCGACTGGAATCGCACATATTTTATTATAATAGACGCGGTCTTCTTGTGATGTTTCCGTACATCTTGATTCGATATTTAGAGTGACGAAAGGTAATTGATTTTTCACTCGATAAATGATCGTCAATTTATTCGTTTCTA